ACCCGAAATCCTAAACCCGAAGTCCTAAACCCTAAACCCTATTTCAACAAGATAACAATCATAATTTAATATGAAGAAAAATAATAACACAAGTCAATAATCAGAATAAGAATAATAAGAACAATAATAATAATCATCATAACAATACTAATAACAATAGTAATGAAACCTTCCAAGGAGTCCTTCGAAGCGGCCAAGGGCTGGGTGCAGGAGCTCCAGAGACGCTCGCCTTTGTTTTTTTAAGGGGTCGCGCGCCGCCGCTCTCTTAGGGGCTTTTGAGGGTCTGGGGTTTGGGGTTTAGGGTTTAGGGTTTAGGGCTACTTGATTCGGGTACTTTTAGGTAGGGTGATAAGTAGGGTAACTATGGTTATTTTCTTATTTAGGTACTTTAGGTACTTTAGGTACTTATATTTAGGTACTTATAACCCTACTTCCAGGTACCCATGAACCTCCGGAAGTTTGAGGGTTGAGGAGTTGAGGGTTGAAGATTTGTTTAGGGTTGGGCTTTCAGGGAGAGAGGGAGTTTGGGGGTTATGGAGTGCAGGGTTGAAGGTTTGTATAGAGTGAAGGTGGAAGGGTTAGAGTTTGTTTCGGACTTGTTTTCGTTTCAGGGTTTCTTTCGGGTTCAGGGTCTGTGGTCGGAAGCGTCCAACCGCAAAGCAGGTCCATTCAAACTTAGAAGGCCCGTGTACTGCAGGGGCCCCAGGGCGTGTCCCTCAACCCTAAACTGTAAACCCAACACAAAGGGATTCAGGGTACGTCAGGGTCTCGGCCAACTTGGATGTTCATTTGTGTACTGCTAGGTAGGGTTGATAAGTATGGCAACTATGGTCATAACCTTATCGGGGGGGGGGGGGGTACTTGCAACCCTACTTATCAAGTACCCATGAACCTCCGAGAAGGTGTAATTGTAGGGTTAGTACCCATTGCACAAAAGCGGGTGCACTTTCATGCCTGTGTCCTTGAAGAGGACCGAGCTTGGGCTTTACTAGGTTGGCAAAAAAGGGATGTGTTATGTTTTCCTTATTTGGGTGTACTATGTATGAGAGTTTAAAGGCCAACCCAGTTTACAAAGGGCGCAGGGTTTCGGGCTAAGGGTCTTTTGGGGTCTGGCATTCAGGGCGTTCTGGGTATTGTCGTCCCATTTGGGTGCCCGAAGTGGTATCAGGCACCCTACTAGTCTTGCCCTAAACCCCAAACCCTAAATCCTAAACCCTAAACCCTAAACCTGAGGTTCAGTGGTCTAAGGGGTTTTAATTTGGGGCTATCAACCCCAGACAAAGTACGGAAGCGATCTTCAGCCCTCATAGTCGATCGAGGCAACTAGGGTTCTCAGGGTAGTTGCATGTACCCCTTATATACCCTATTCAAATTAATGAAGGGCCCTTACATCAGAACCCTTCAAAGCAGGTGAGGGGACCATATTCAGGGCCCATGAAACTACCCTCAGAGCATGTGAAGACTCCTCTAACTTGCGATTCTTCTTGGGGTACCCTAACTTTCAGACACTAGGGGCCGCCTTCTAACAAGGACCCCCAAAAGGGACCACAATTGAGAGCAACTACCCTTAGACGGGTTCATGGTTTAGGGTTTTGGGCCTGGCCCAGATACTGACACCCTCATCGCCCTGGCGGGCAACAAAGTCGACCTTGCGGCATCTCGCGCAGTGGACACCGAGGTACAGGGCCCCTTTTCTGTGACCTTCAGTCCAAAGCCTAGAAGCCACCCTAAACCCCTGAACCCTAAACCCTGAACCCGAGTTCCGAAGCCGAAATGCCCTGAAGCCTTCAACTCCAAGTCGAATACTGAACATAAAGGGCACCCCTACACTCGCAAACCCTAAACCCTAAACCCCTACGCTCCCAAACCCCAACGCCATCTCCTGTGCCGGGACTCCCGTTTTGTGACTCGAGGGGTTGTTGGGAGATCCTTTTGCGTTGCCGAGTGTCAATTTGTTTGCGGGCTCTATCAACTCAGCTAGTCAGAAGCCCCGTGGAGCAGTCGCATGAAGGCAGGGGAAAACCAGAGGCCCGAGAGCCAGTACCCAAGACATCAAAAAGTAGCGTATAAATTAGATTTGTTCATACCCTAACTCCCAACAACCCTAAACCCCAAACAAAAAACTTGAAGAGAGTCCTTTGGTCTGCATCCGCCGCCGTTTCAGCATCTGGCAGACACTCTCAGACCTCAACCCGCGGCGCAGGTGATTTGAAAGCTTAGGGTTTAAGGCTTACTTTGTTGTTTTAACATTTTGGGGCTTAAAGTTGGGTTTAGGGTTTTAAGGCTTACTTTACTGTTTAACATTTTGGGGCTTAAAGGTTTCAAAAGCCGGGGTTCTAAGGCGTCAAAGCTGGCGCTTAGGGGTTTTAGAGCTGTTTAGAGCTCAGGAGAGGGCCCCTTAACTGGAGGCTTTGGAGGTGCTAGGGTTTAGGGTTTAGGGTTTAGGGTTTAGGGTTTAGGGGTACCTTATGAGGAGGACCCCGCAGACAGGTGAGTCTCAGCATGGCCATGGTTCGATGCAGACACGATCTCTACGCCTTCGAGACTTAGGGGGTACGTGGAAACAATTTTAAATTTTTGCTTACTAGAGACCTTTAAGATAAAAGGAAGAGCTAAACCCTAAACCCTAAACCCTAAACCCTTTTTTGCAAGGGTACCAAGTTCAGACTAGGAGAAGGATCTCCACCACTTGTGCCGGATCGCCTTGGGCTCGCCGCTCTGCCGCAGCTTCAGACTCTCAAGAGCTAGGAAGGGTTTGGGGTTTAGGGTGTAGGGTTCAGGGTTCAGGGTTTTAGGGCTAGGACCAAGAGTAGGGCTTAGGTTCCCTTACAAGCCCCTTTGAACCAAGAAGGGCACCCTTTTTTTTATCCTAGGTTGCTCTTGGGTCTGGACAAGAACCTGGGTTATGCTTGAAGGTTTGTTGGGGTACTTAATACGTAGGGTTTAGGGTTTAGGGTTTAGGGTTTAGGGTTTAGGGTTTAGGGTTTAGGGTTTAGGGTTCACATGCTGGATGGATGGATGCTGCCCTGGCCTCAGTTCCAGTCTTAAAACAAGGGTTCACATGTAGGGTCTAGGGTTTAGGGGTTACCCTGAGTAAGATTGTAACCATACTTGCCTACTTCTAGCTACCCACATGAACCTTCAAGGTTCCACGATTAAAGAGCCTCCGTCACCCCAACAAGCTCGCCACCCCCCCACCCCCTCCACCCCCGAACCCATTCCATCCCTTGCCCCCCCCACACACCGATTTAGGGATTGGGGTTCAGGGGATGGACCCTAAACCCTAAACCCTAAACCCTAAACCCTAAACCCTAAACCCTAAACCTAAACCCTAAACCCTAAACCCTAAACCCTAAACCCTAAACCCTAAACCCTAAGCCCTAAGCCCTAAACCCTAAACCCTAAACCCTAGACATGACGCAGTTTCCAGGTTCAAGAGCCCTCATCCCCTCGACCCCTCTGGCCGTTTCTCGCCTGACGCAACTCCAGGAGGGGCGGCCACGCGCTCTCCCAGCTGGTGCGTGCGACTGGGCGATTGAAGCCCTAAACCCTAAACCCTAAACCCTAAACCCTAAACCCTAACAGGTTGTTGTGGGGTGCCGGAGAAGACTTCGGGTAGTTGGTGGCGTGGGTTTTCTTGTGAGTTCGAGCGTGCGCCGCCCTTAAAAGCGACGCATGTGAGAGTTGCAGCACGTCTTCCGAAAACCCTTATTCCCTTTCTTAGGGTTTAGGGTTTAGGGCTACTAGGACCCCGAGTAGGCCCTTATTCCCGTTTTTTAGGGTTCAGGTTCCCTCACAAGCCCCTTGAAACCGAAGAGGGTGCCCCTTTATGCTTAGGTTACTCTTGGGCCTGGCGAAGCAACGTCTTCGCCTCGCGTTCCCCAAAGACGTCTTTCTTATGTTCGCCTCAGTCGCTGTACCACCTGCCCCACTTGAAGGTTCAATTGGGTACCGATAAGTAGGGTTTAGGGTTTAGGACTCTAGTTAAGTACCCATAGTTGCCTTCCCTGCAACCCTACGTATCAGTACCCATGAAGCTTCAAGTAAGCCCCTCTAAGACCAGGAGAAGATCCTGCAGTTCTTGGCTCTGGGCACTGGCTCGCGCGTGGCGGCCGGGTGGTATCACACCTGCATCGTGAAGGCCAGCATCTGCTGTGGCGGATCTCGCACTAAACTGGGGTTTGGAGTGCTATTACTGAAGTGCTTGTTTTTGGTAGGGTCTAGTCCAAAGCAGCCAAAAAAGTTGATAGAGTCTCACAGAGTTGAGCAAAAGGGTCGAGGCGGTTGCCAGAGGCCTAGTCGCAAGAAGGGAGTGAAGGGTTGAGGGTTTGAGGTCTAGGTGCTTTGCTTGGGGCCGAAGGGTTCAAAAATCGACAGCGCATGGCCCACCACCCTGAAACATCTGGGCTCAAGGGCAAAATTGGGCGCGCTAGCGCCAGCCTTAGATCCCTCCATTTTTCCCTGCTCTTCCAGCATCTCATGGGGAATGCTTCGTGCTGCAAGTCGGAGACGTCACCAGGTGTGGAGGCTTCGGTGGAGGCCAGGCCCACCCTGGACAGTTCCTTGAACACTCTGCCCGCAGTGACCGGTGGGAAGACTGACACGGAGAGACTCTACAGCATCTTGGTAAGCCCTTGGGAACTTTTCTATTTGTGCCCTTATTGGTTTATATTTAGGAGTACCTTTTTGGAGGGTTTGAAGGGCCATCCTAGCCCTAAACCCAAAACCCTAAACCCTAGCCCTAACCCTAAACCCAATCCTAGGCATCAAGCTTGTCAAGTCCGATGGCTTGAAACTGGGCCTGGACGTCGATTACATGGCGGAGCGCTCTGTGCTGCCCATCATGTCAGTGACTGGTGGGGTTGCAGAGACTTACTTGGCCAAGAATTGAACTTTAAGCTTTTTCGGGTTTCCTTATTTAGTATGGATCATAACGTTTAACCTTTGTTTCCGTTGGTTGTTGGAGAAGTAAGGAGAAGTGGAACCAAGACAATCCCGACATGCAAATTCGCAAGGGCGACAGCATTGTGGAGGTGAACGGCACAACTAGTCACTGGGTAGGCCCTTAAGGGAATTTTCATCTAAGTAGGCCCTTGGCACATAGTATATTTTCCCTTATTGGGTTTAAGAGGGCCATATTCAGGAATATTTTTCAGGGGGTTTTAGGGGCCATCCTAGTCATGCTTTCCCCTATTATTGGGCTTAAGAGGACCCATCTTCAGGAATAAACCCTAAACCCTAAACCCTAAACCCTAAACCCATTTGTTCAGAGGGTTTCCATGGGGGCCAACCAAGGTGATGTCGCTCAGATGCTCGACAAATGCAAGACGGACGTCGAGCTGGAGCTGACATTGTGCCGCTGCCTGAACTACGACCACTTGGTGGCTGACCTCGAGACTGGGCAGGGTTTGGGGTTTGGGGTTTGGGGTTTAGGGTTTAGGGTTTAGGGTTTAGGGACACTGTGTGCAAGGATATTTTCATGTTTTGCCTGTTGAGCTCATGGAGTATGCTTCGGAGGCTTTCAATGGCCATCCTAGGAAACGCTAATCGCTGCTAAGAGCTGTGGACCAATCCTGATCCGTCTTTCCTGGCATGATGCCGGCGTCTTCAACGGCGCAGATGGCTGCCCGAACGCAGCAATGCGACTGGCCGGCAGTGGTGAACACGCCATGGCCGCGAACGCCGGGCTGCCGCAGGTGGCGCTCGCACTTCTCGGCCCGATCACAGAGAAGTACGTGCCGCGGCTCATTTCCCATGCGGACCTTTGGGCCTTGGCTGCCAACGTCTCCATCAAGGCCATGGGGGGACCCGACGTTCGGTCGGCCCTTGGGACATCTTTTTACTTTTCCCTTCCTGGGTTTAAGAAGATCATTGTTTGGGAACCCTAAACCCTAAACCCTAAACCCTAAACCCTAAACCCTAAACCCTAAACTTTTTTAGAGGGTCTTAAGGGCCATCCGAGGACGTTCCCACTCGCTTCGGCCGGCTGGATGCGCACCGCGCTTCGGATGGAGTCTCCTCGGCGGAGGGGCGCCTGCCGGATGGGGACAAGGACTTGGGTTTAGGGTTTAGGGTTTAGGGTTTAGGGTTTAGGGTTTAGGGTTTAGGGTCTAGGGTTTAGGGTTTAGGGTTTAGGGTTTAGGGTTTAGGGTTGACCAGGACGCGAAGCACATCAGAGACATTTTTGCCCCTTAGTAGCTGATTACGAGTACACTTGACACTTTTTGGGGAGGGGCTTGTGAACTCAGCTCTTTCGGAGCTGAATGAGTACACTTTAGATACTTTTTCGAGGCTTATGAACTCAGCTTTTTCGTAGCTGAGTGAGTAGACTGTATATGCTTTTTTGGGGCTCAGCAGCTCAGGCTCCCAAGGGCTTCGAGGACCGTGACGTGGTGGCTCTTTCGGGTGCGCACACGGTCGGGTCGTGCCACGGTGACCGCTCGGGCTTCGAGGGCCCATGGACGGATGACAAGCTCCTCTTCGACAACTCCTACTTTAAGGACTTGTTGCAGAAGCCATGGGCAAAAGAGACGAACCGGCATGGCAAGACGCAGTACAGGTCTGGTGGGACGATGATGCTGACCACCGACATGGCGCTGCCAGGGCCAGGTTTGAGCATCCTTGTTCACTTTTGGCCTCTCTTCGTCCCCCTACATAATCCTTACAAAGCCACAAAAACCCCAAACCCTGAACCCTAAACCCCAAACCCTAAACCCTCAACCCTAAACCCCGGACCCCAACCCTAAACCCCAAACCCGAAACCCAAAACCCTCCAAGGCTGGTGGAAGACCCGGCTTTCAAGCAGCACGTGGAGCGCTACGCCGCGGACCAGAAGGTTTCCCTGTTGCCTAAACCCTAAACCCTAAACCCTCAACCCTCAACCCTCAACCCTCAACCCTCTCAACCCTCAACCCTAAACCCTAAACCCGAAGGCGTGGTTTGACGACTTCGCCAGGGCCTGGATCCGCCTCCAGGAGTTCAACAGCGGGGAGTTGCGCGACATCTTGTGAGGCCATGAGCTATCTATATGGGGGTTGATCTAAAAGTCCTTCTTGGGAAATTATTCCGGGTCCGTTTTTGGTTTATTAGGGAAATTTAGGGTAACTTTGGGAACAGGTATTTTGATCAACTCCCATATAATACCCTTTATTTTTGTAGAACATAAGATAGTATGACATATAAGTGTATATTATACAATATATATATATATACATGTTACATGATATCTGGTGTTGGATATTATAAGCATCAGTGGAAGATCCACAAGCAATGCCGTTTCACCTTCTGGCTTGGATGATTTCACCCCTCTTCACACTCGCCAGATCCGATCCTCAAGAGGGCCCTGCGCACGAGTCTGTTGTATTCTGTTGTGAGGTTTAGGGTTTGTGGTTTGGGGTTTAGGGTTTCGGGTTTAGAGTTTAGGGCTTAGGGCTTGCAAATCATGCTGCCGTCGTGCGCATGGAGAGCCCCAGCAAATGCCAGATGTCACTGTGACCTATCAGGCTTACGCATGCGTTGACGTTTGCTGTATACTGTGACTGATGAGCCCTGGTTGTCGTAGGCCTGAGTCAACGCATGTGTGAGAGCGCTTTCACTCGCAATATAGTACCAAGAGACCCGCCTGTGCCAACGTGAGAGTCAAAACCCGAAACAGGTACGCGAGTGTAAGAGTCGAAACACTTCAACAATAAACCGATCTAATTAAATCCGAAACCCTAAACCACTCCTAAACCCTAAACCCTAAACCCTAGACCCTAAACCCTAAACCTGAAACCCTATGAAAAAGAACAAAGCCCTGAACCCTAAGCCCTAAGCCCCAAGCAACCCATCCACACCCCAAACATGTACCCTAAACCCTAAACCCTAAACCCTAAACCTTAAACCCTAAACCCTAAACCCTAAACCCTAAACCCTAAACCCTAAACCTGCACAGCACTGAAGGCAGATGGCACACTCCGGTGCGTCGGCGGCAACTACGGGCAGCAGTGTGAAGTGCCCCGGGTGCCTGAGCCGGCACCAGGGAATCTCAGGGTTTACTGTAGGGTTTTAGGGTTTAGGGTTTAGGGCTGGGGTTTAGGGGGCAACACATTCCCTTAAAGGGTAGAATATAGGGGTATATAGGATACCTCATCCCCCAATTCCCTACGAACAACCATCAAGACTAGGGGGCGTATCTTCGTCACCAGGGCTCTCTGATGTAGTTTTCAGTGCACTCTTTTTTTGAGGCAGCCGTCTGGATGCAAAGGCTACACCCTAACTCTAGGACCCTTAAAAGCCGAAAGCATGTAACCCTCATGGGTAGCTCTTTTAGATGGGGTCCCTTTTGAGGTCCTTCCCTTAAGGGTGGCGTATGGGGGCTCCGATTGCGGAATTATCCCTCCCCTTACGCCCCACCTCCCTACCCCCCCCCCCCTATGCAGTTAGAGGATGCCTTGCCTTTTTAGGTGCATGGCACCATGCACCCAGGACTGCATCTCCAAAAAATTGGGCAGTTCTTAAAGCGCTGTTGAAGAAGTGGCAAAATGTGTTGAGTTTTTGATGGGGAAATCGTGCGATTTTTGAGGGGTGAGGGCTGTTGGCGTGCTCGTTGAAGAATGGGATGCTGAAGAGGTGGAGGCTTGGGGGCAAGTGGTTGGCTGGTTGAAAACACGAAAATGAGGCCTGAAAAGTTGGAGAAAGTGGTGGAAAAAAGATTGAGAAAATGTTTGGTGTTTCGGGGGTTGGAAGATGAAGTGGTGTGCTGTTTACTTTTTTTACCCATGAACATCCAACTAGCCCTAAACCCTACACGCTACACCCTAAACCCTAAGCCCCAAGCCCTAAGCCCCAAACCCTAAGCCCTGAACCCTGAACCCTAACCCCTAAACCCTAAACCCTACAGATAGGTGCCCAAAAGAACCTCCAAGCAAATCCCCAAAGAGCGGCGGACCCAGGGCCTGGGCCCCGCGGTGGCTGTGGCGGCCGGCCACTTCCACACCTGCGTGCTCCAGGTAGGGTTGAGGGTTTAGGGTTTAGGGTTTGGGGTTTAGGGTTTGGGGTTTGGGGATTGGGGTTTTGGGTTTGGGGTTTAGGGTTTAGGGTGAGCAGGTCGTAGGCCAGCTGGTACGTCCTCTTTTGGGTACTTATAAGTAGGGTTTAGGGTTTAGGGTTTAGGTGTTTAGGTTTTAGGGTTTAGGGTTTAGGTTTTAGACTGTACTTACAAGTAGGGTTTTATGTAGGGTAGCTATGGTGATAACCCTATTTTAGGGTACTCATATCCCTACTGATATGTGCCCAAATGAACGAAGTTTTGGGTTCGAGGGGTTGTGTGCAAGGGTTTGGGGGTTTAGGGTTTAGGGTTTAGGGTTTAGGGTTTAGGGTTTAGGTTTACGGTTTAAGGTTTAGGGCAAGGGTTTGGGGGTTGAGGGTTCGGTCAACAGGGTGGAGGGTTGAGGGCGCCTCGTAGCGGACCAGCCTTAGCTTCACATCCCAGAGAATACGCCCGCCAACTCAGGAATAGGGTTTAGGGTTTAGGGTTTAGGGTTTAGGGTTTAGGGTTCAGGGTTCAGGGTTCAGGGTTTAGGGTTTAGGGTTCCGGGTCCCTGCTTCTTAGCCCTTCCGTGCTCCTTTGGTTCTCTTAAATACAAGTCTTCCGCCCCTCGCCGAAACGTCCCAGCCACTTTCTTTCTTTCGTGAGGCAAATGGCCGAGCCTCCGGACGGAATTGGACTAAACCCTATCGGGTTCAGGGTTTAGGGTTTAGGGCTTAGTGCTCCCTATTCCCTACACCCGGCTTCAAGTTCTCTAGGCTTAGAGAACCTTCCACCGAGGCCCGTAAGCCCTACCACAACCCTAAACCCTTAAGGGTTTATATAGGTTCGCCCTAGGACCAAGAAGGCTCATACCCCCCAAAACATACCCCCATAAGAAGCTCCCCCAAACGCCTGGTACGCCCTGACATGAAGTTTCAGGCAACTTCGTGAGAAGTCAAGTGGAAATTCGGATGACCCAACTCAGGGAGGTACCTAGAACCCTATTCAGGATGTAGGGTTTCGGGCGAAACGCCTACCCCACGCGCGCTCTTTATGGGCCCTACTAGGACTGAGAGAGCAGGCCTTGAGAGATAGTTGAGGGACTCTTTGCGGCTGGCTAGGGGGGAGAGGTGGGGGGGGGGGGTGGAGTCTCTCTTGGGAGCCCCACTTGGTAGCCCCAGACCCTAAACCCCCAAAAAAAACCCAAACCCCAAACCCCAAACCCTAAACCCCAAACCCGAAACCCTAAACCCCAAACCCCAAACCCCAAACCCCAAACCCTAAACCCTAAACCCCTAAACCCCTAAACCCTAAAGGTGGCTACTGGGCCACCAACCCCCAAGCCTTTAGTTCCACTAAGGCCCCCTGAACCCCTCGGTGGCCATCCCTAGCTGAGAGTCCCGATAAACCTGTATCCCCCTTTTCTTCTGTCATAGTTGGGTAACATTTTACATTTTTAAGGGTACTTAAACCCAATAAGGAATATAGATTTAGATTTTTAATATTATCCCAACAATGAACAAGTTCTTTTCTGTTTATATAAACCTCAAGAGGATGTTAAGCATATGTTTTTGAAGGTTCCAAGGGGGAGCGTAGAAACCCTAGACCCTAAAACCCTGACCCAAAATCGGACGCCTTGCATCCCCGCAGGGCAGGTGGCCAAAAAAAGCCCTACACCCGAAGCCACGCGACCCTACTTGAAGGTTCATTTGGGCACTTGTACGTAGGGATAGAAGTACCCTAAATAAGGAGAGTTACCCTACTTACAACTCTACGTACTTACAAGTACCCACATGTAGCCCTAAGCCCTAAACCCGTAAAACCCGATGGCCCTAAACACGATGATGAGTACACACGTGAACCTCCAAGTAGCGCCTAACCCTAAACCCCTAACCCTACTTCTAGAGTACTTCTAGGTATCCGAATGATCCGAGTGCAGTTCTCAGGTTGGGATGTTCGCCCTTATACTAACAGCTCCTTAGTAGGGATTGCTAAAATCTCTTTTAAGGATTCCCTAAACCCTAAACCCTAAACCCGAAACCCTAAACCCTAAGCCCTAAACCTAAACCCTAAACCCCAAACCCTAAACCCTAAGCCCTGTGAGTATAAGGTGGAACATCGCAGTTCTCAGGTCGCATGCTTCGGAAGCAACGTCTTCGGCCAGTGCGATGTGCCGCCCGCGCTC